GCCAGCTGGTGGTTGGCCTGCTTCGTCTCTGCTGCTTGCCAGCTACGCCTTGGCCGGCGCAGGGGGCGGAACCACGCATGTGCGGCGTTCCCGGGCAGGGAAAGTCCTCGACTTACGACTGGTTGGGTAGGTAGTCCTTGACTTACGACCGGTTTAGTCCTCGACTTACGACCGGTTTTGTCCTCGACTTACGACCGGTTGGGGTCACGGCATTAAAAAGGTTGAGAACCACTGATGTAAGCCCTGCCTCATCCACACTCCCTCCCTACTCAGTTTCATGAAAGGATTATGTAAGTGAAGTTTGTCCAAATGCAAATTGATTTCTCATGTGATTATGTCATTTGACAAACATCTCATTCACAGGAGCTTGATATATGCTTTCCAGAGAATGTACTAATGCTGTATTTCTGTTTTCATTTTTTAACAAAATTGAAGGAAATTCTAAATCAAAGCCTGATGTCTATGTTAAATTGAAGGAAGCTAGATAAATAGGAGTTTAATTCACACAAGAAATTTGCTTTTTGAAAACTTAATAAACATACAACGAAATAATGATTCCATTGTGCTGGATGAGACTGTGCTCTCTCTGATTTTTCTGAATTCATCTTTGATCCTGGATGGTTATGAAAATTCAGCTCAATTTGACTGGCTTATCACTTTCATATGACAGCTGGCCATCCTTTCATTTATGGCAGGGCTGTTTTTGTCTTTTCATAATCCTTTGTATAGGCTTTGAGCTGATATTTGGTGTGGGATCTAGAATGGGTTTTCTGGAGAACCAACAATGGAGAATCTTCTCCTCATGCAGCATCTAAATATTTAGGGGCAACAACTACTACTCTTCCTGATGACTGAGCTCACACAACATGCTACACCACATTTGGGTTTGTTGTGTTGTTCAAACAAAGGTTGCCTGAACCCAGATTTTGTCTTCACTCAGTTGCCTTCAGTTTTTCTTTCCTAAGAATCAGGAGAATGCCCCTCTCTCTTTCTAGTTGTAATACTGCATTCTCTAGCTAAACTGCATATTCTTGCAGATGGTTAGACCAAACAGCCATCTGTCTACTTTGGTGCTGCTCCTAACTTGGCCTAGCAGGAAAAGGAGAGGAAAGTGAGGTTGCAGTAGGCATTCAAGTGAAAAAAATGTTTTTCAAGGTTGCCTTTTTTTTTTTCACAAGGAGGCAGTGTAGTTCTTTTCATAATTTCTATTTTACTGTATCCCTGGGAACTGCTGTTCTATATTGTGTTTTTGTTTTTGCTTTGCTTTGCTTTGCTTCTATGTGATACACAGCCTTTATAGTAACAGGAGGTGGAAATTTGTATTATTTTCATTTAAGGTAGACGTTCTCAATGCATAACAATCACATTGTGAAGGAGCAAAGAAATACCTTGTCTGCTTCTATTTTTCATGGCATATAGCAGTTTAAAATATGATAGTAAATGAATACATAATAAAAAGAAAGGAAAACCTCTGATTTTAGGTTGCCTCCTGAATTACAGGTAGTCCTTGACTTATGAGCCCAAAATTTCCATTGCTAAGCAAGATAGTTGTTCACTGTAGCCCCAGTTTATGATCTTTCTTGCCACAGTTGTTAAGTGAATCACGTTAATGACAGGGTTGTTAAGTGAATCTGGCTTCCCCATTGTCAGAAGGTTGCCAAAGGTGATCACATGTCCCTGAGACACTGCAATTGTCATAAATACATGCCAGTTGTGAAGCATCCAAATTTTGATTACATGACCAAGGGGATGCTGCAACAGTGATAAGTGTGAAAAATGGTCATAAGTCACTTTTTCAGCGCCATTGTAACTTCCACACAGTCACTAAATGAATGGTTGTAAGTCAGGGACTACCTGTAAACAACCAATTGGGCACTATTCATTATTTCATATTGAATTGATGGTTGGAGTTCCCATCCACTCCGTCCTGTTGCAAACCTTTGAGACATCTGTGTAAGCTGAAGGATGCAAGGGCAGAGATTGCTAGAAATTAGTTTTATTTGATCAAATGCTTTGCTCCATTTCATATTTTAATGAAAAACTCAGGATACATACTTTTGCCTACATGCATAAAATAACGGATGTTGTTACACGCCTTTGTTAGCATGTTGATTATGAACAGTAATTTGAAAGTCAACATTGATGTAGGTTAAAGTGGCATTTAGCTTTTTACAGCCATATCACACTACTCTTACCTCAGCTTGCCATCGACTTCTATTCCAAGGGTGTGTTGTTGTTTTTTAAAAAAACATAATTTTATTTTATTTATTTATTTATTTATTTCATTTATACCCCGCCCTTCTCCCGGAGGACTCAGGGCGGCTTACAGCCAGTTTAAAACAATCCCACATAAATACCAAATACAAATCTAAAATAATTAAAAATAAATATTTGAATTGGCCGCTCTATTAAAATTTTGTTAAAACCAATTAAAATACCCCTAGTCCAGTCCTGCCTGCTGAAACAGCCAAGTCTTTATCATGCTATTATGAAGCCATCCCCCCTTCTAATGCCAATGTATCTGATTTTTGGTTCTTGAGAGCCGTGATGGTGCAGTGGTTAGAATGCAATATTGTAGGCTAATTCTGCTGCCAGCAGTTCGATCCTGACCAACTTAAGGTTGACTCAGCCTTCCATCCTTCCAAAGTCGGTAAAATGAGGACCCAGATTCTTTGGGGTAATATGCTGATTCTGTAAACCGCTTAGAGAGGGCTGTAAAGCACTGTGAAGGGGTATATAAGTTTAAGTGCTATTAAGTGAAGAACTTTGCAATTGTCTCTGTTACCTTTCATCATATTACCTTCAGCATATTTTTCAATCTATCAAAATTGTTTTGAATTTTCAGCAAGTTACCAGGATATTAATCTCAACCAACTTTTAATCATCTACAGATTTGAGACACATTCCTCCATTCACAGAGAAGCTGGTATGCTAATTATTTTTTTCCCTTTTATTTTGAACATATCTAAATACACCCTTTTTGTTATTCTTAGCATCTTTTGAATTTTTGGTTTCCTGACACTAGCTCTACATATCTGGGCAACCTGTTTGTGAAGTGGCCCTCTTCCCATTTCTTTCTTGTTTTTAGACCTTTGCTAAACCCTTTGTGTTCCTGTATTTAGTTTCTGTAGTTGTCCTCCATTTTTTTTATCCTTCTTAAAATTGGCTTTTGTTCAGGAAATCCACTTGTTCAATTCGCTTGTTCAGGAAACCCACTCGTATTAAAACTCCTTTTTCGCATTAAATTTCTCTGCTGCGTGATCCTACTTACCATTATTCTGAGTTCGTTAAAATCTGCTTTATTAGTTTATTATTTTATTAATAGCCTGCCTTTATTATTATTTTTATAAACAACTCAAAGCAGCGAACGTATCTAATATTCCACCTTCTTCCTTGTTTTTGAAAGCATATCTTTGGCGCCACAAACATGCTATCCTTTTGCATTGTCGTTTTTCTTCAGGGTTTTGGCTTCCCCTTCTCAACTACACCTTCCACACTGAGTAGTATGTCCTGCCAAAGAAAGCCCCTCTCTTTTTGTTTTCTTCTGAGGTCCCAAAGGAGAACGTTGCCAGTAAGGCAAGTTAGGGATTTCCTGTAGGGATTCTGCTTGGCAGAGTTGTATCCAAACAGATATCAGGATATTTACTGTAAATTTTCCCATGAGTATGACTTCACACCTCTCCGAGAAAGCTGGGTTTAGCTTTTGAAAGACATGAACTTTTCCTCATTTTGGGAAGACGACAATAGACCTCAGCAATAGTGCTGGGCCAGTTGCGCCTCCATTAAGTTCATCCTGAGCCTCTTTATTAGCATGTCTGATCAATTCCTCTCTTCCCGTTGCTTCCTTTCTTCCATTTTCAAAATTTATTTTATTTACTTCTTTGTAATTTGCTTTTTTCTGAATGAGATGGACTTTGAGTGAGCCTTGTAATTATTAATATTGCCTGCTAGAAGCTTTTTACAGACTGCATGGGGAGAAAGGAATTTCTGGGGTTCCAGGTTGGGATTAAATTCAGCGCTTTCAGCCTGATACTCTGAACTGTTTAAAGGATTTTTTAAAAAAACTAATTATGTATGCATGTTAATAATTTGTGTTGCTTTTAATTTATTACCTTGCTAATTTGATCATCCTACTTGGATGGAAAGGGAGGATATAAATCAAATACATTAAACAATCAATCAAACAAACAAACAAATCCTGAAATAAGGCATAGTGCTTTTTATGGTAGTTGTTGGGGGGAGGAGCTGGACTAATTTCCAAACTAAATTAGCTGGAATATTTCAAATGTTCTTCTTAGGCCTGTTTCAATCGAGATGGGCGGCAAATAAATTGAAAAATAAATAAAACGATAAAGATATGGAATACTGAGTACAAGAGTAAGATGCAGCCCCCAAAAAGAATTAAAACCCTAAAATACGGCATATTCAGATGGAAGCTAGAGAGCTAAAAATAGGAAGTAGGTGGAGAGAGAACAGCAGAGGATTGTCAGTGTCACTGTTTTGTTTCCCTTCTTTCTGAAACTCCTTGGCTACGTTACTATGCACCCTCCAGAGTAAATCTCACTAGATTTTTTTTTTCTTCCTAAGGTTTCTTTTCCATCTGTATGTTACTTTCCTCAGCCTTGTGGGCTGGGGAGTGTTTATTCCAGTCCAGATTACTGAACTGTTAGGATGTATGCCCTGTTCAGGGCTGCCCCATTTCATTTGCATTGATCCACACTGCTGGTAACAACTACACGCTTTGGAATAAGTCAGGGCGGTACCTCCTGTTCTTTTTGTGAGGTGTTTTGTAGCCCCAAAACTTCCCTGGGAGTAGAAGGGGGAGTTACTTTGCGATTTATGTAAGAAGTGCTCCAGAGGGCAGACATTCATCCCAGCGCATTCTTGCACCGATGTGGGCATTTGCTTCTGGAATGGTGGCAGTGAGAATGGAGGGGGGCAATAGTCAGAGGCATAAGTGCTGAGCAGCTGCTAATGTCATCACCATGCTGTATTTTCAGCTTGTCATTATGGCTGGGACGGTCTTGCTTGCCTACTACTTTGAGTGCACGGACACTTTCCAGGTACATATTCAAGGCTTCTTCTGTCAAGACAGCAATTTGATGAAACCATATCCAGGAATAGAGGATGAAAGCTTCATTTCCCCTCTTGTCCTCTACTGTGTCCTGGCTGCAACCCCAACAGCAATTGTAAGTAGATTGAATATATTAAATATATATGTACATGCATATTTTAAAGATTCTTTGACTTATTGGATTGTTGATTGCTGACTTCCCGGAGAAGAGATTTTATTCCTTTTCCACCCTCATGATTTTTATCTAACTCCATAAATGTCAGTATAGTCATGAGGAGTCCAGCACAACTTCAAGGCATCTTTAGTTTTGGTTTTTTTTAAAATCTGATAAGCTTGTGTCAGACATTGGCACATTATCATAATCCCTTTGGGTATTAATTATCCCACCAATTAATTAATTATCTGTATGTGATTTCACAGGAAGACAAAATACCATGTTACATATTTCTCAGCTGAAGTGCAATAGCTAAATGTAAACAGCTTCACACATTTAGATCAACCACAACACTTTGATGTAAATGATTGGTGCTGGAGTTTATCACCATGAGTTCTCAGGGAGTTTAGTAAATAAATAAACTATGCTTTTAGTAAAAGCAAAATAAGAATCTTGCAAGGTGTGCGAGGTTTCATATGCTGAAGGCAAACCTGACTGCTTCAAAAAGCATTTCAGCTGAGTAGTGCTTATGAATGAATAAAAAAAATTGCCTTTTGCAAATCCAATGTCAGTTTCCCCACTCTTTCCAATATAATTCCCATGGAAAATAATTAAAGGCTGCCATAAGTCCAAGAAAACTATTGATTAGGAAATAAATGCCAAAAGTGTCCTGATTGCTTTTCTTTTCATGGCAGACATTAGCTTCTTTGTGTTACAAAGCAAATAGATTTAGCCACTGATTTAATTTAAAACGCTGCTTCAAATAAGCTTCTGACACATGTTTGTCTAGTTTCCTTTTATGCAACCCGGTTTGTTTTTCCTTCCCACCAGAATATTTGTTGTACATGTTTGCAATTTCTTTCCTTAAGTTCACTGCAAAAAGAGATTCAACAGAAGAATAATGAGCAACATGTATTAAGCACATTTAATTAGATGAACGTGTCCATATAGGATAGGCTCAGTTTAGCTTCTTATTCAAATTCACAAGTCTTAATCCAGCATCCTTTCAGGGTGTGCACAGCTGTGAGCAATATGATTGGCTGATAGCAAGAGTGCTACAAACATACTTTCTTCCACCCATATTTCCAGAAAGGTTTTTTTTTAAATGACATCTGTTTTTAAAGAAACGATTCAAAATAAAAATTTAAAAATGCTGAACTAATGTGCAGGTCAAATATTCAGATAACACTTGTTAAAATGTTCAAAGGTAGGCGATATCTGTTGAAGGTATGGCAAAAGAATATTGAAAGCTAGAAGGGAAAAGGTATTGTGAATTTTTAAAGGTGCATTTGCAGATGCAAGTGTACAGGCTTCTAGAAAGAGGAGTATTTTTAAAGGAAATAATCTGAAAAGATATTTGAGGAGTGTTTACTTGCTACCTACACTCACTCAAGGCATGTTCAATAAGAATGTCCAGTCATATGCCCTCTATTCCAGTTCATGCCAGGCAGCTCCAGGCAGCTATAGAAAAAGATTAAATGTTTATTATTGTATCTTTCTGATTCTTCTATATGCAGTAGAACCTTAGCTAATTAACATTCCCCATCCTATGTAAATGTATTGAGACATATGCAAGATCCTTTAACACTGATACTAAACACACAGCCCCAGGAGATATAACTAGTCTGTGGTTAGGAAATAACAGTGGGAGGTCCAATTTTCTTATCACTTTCGTGCATAAATGCAGTGCATGGAATTAATCAGCTGAATCCTTCAGTGACACACTATATTTTATGCAACCAAAGTGTAGCTATGATGGAATTTCCATGTAGTATGGAAAAATCTTCTTCACCTGGAAGATTTATTTGAAATTCTTTGATTCAATAGAAACATGTGCTTCCTTTACCTCAGGGATTCCCAACCAGGGATGCGAGGAGATATTCCAGGGGATGCAAAAACTTGAGTTTTCAAAATTGTAGTGTATACGCATAATTTGTTGCTGTTATTTCAAACTTTTGTAAGGGGTGCGAGAATATATCAGAAGCATTCTAGGGGTGCGGGGTATAGAAAATGTTGGGAACCATTGCTTTACCTGCTAATTTTCCATCCAGTGGTTGAAGCCATGTTAATGATGGAGCAGCAATTGATGGTCACATGGTTGAAGGTGAAAGCCAAAGGACAACTGGACATTATGAACTTATTAATATATATATGGCATGCACAGTCAAAGTAGGTTGTGTACAGCTATTACTTTTCTGACTGGGAGACAGGCCAATGCTAATGACTGGCCCAAAGTTATCCAGTGCTTTTCTGTTGCTGGGGATGGACTAGAATCTGGGTCTCCCTGATGCAATACTACACTAATGATGGCTACACTACACTAGTCTCCTGGATAAACTTACTTATCAACAAAAAAAATCTTAATGTCATTGCTTCAATCAAACTGGTAGATTGTTATAGCTCTAGCAATACCAGCAGTAGTTGCGTTTCTTGAAAATAAGTGCCCAAACTTTATTGAATTGCAGAGATTCAAGGGGTGAAGAAAGCATCATGTGAGGGAGATATGTCCTGCTTGCCAACTAAAAATTTGTATATAATTAGGAAAGCTAAATTTGGTGTTGTGGTTAAAATGTTGGACTAGAAAGTGGGACCAATCTGCCCTTAGGCATGGAAGCTCACTGGGTGACTTTGCTAGTTCTTTTTCAGCCTAGCAAATTTGTTGTGGGCAAAAATTGTTGGAGAGAGAGCTGTCATTCTCATGAATGAAAGGCAAGATATAATCTAAATAAATAGTAGCCAATAGAATCTGAGAAAGCAGCAGTTAGGAACTGATGGTGCACCTGATTGGAAGGAGGAGTGATTACTAGAAGAGACAGCACAGAAAACAAAGTAGACAATCCTAGATGGAATCTAGCTAAATGTAACCATTCCTATAGATGTTTATTTGGAAGTGGGCTTCTGCACCAGAGATAAATCCCTTGTGTGTCTAATCATATCTGGCCAAACAAAGTATTCTATTATATTGGCTGGAAACTTTAGCAGCAAACTACCCAGCAACATCACTATATGTCTGAAAATCACATAAAAGTTGGTTGGGTTCTGTCTTTTTCATGCCTCCAGTTTCAGGTAGCACAAATGGGAGAGTTTTATTTCTGTGTCTGCCTTAAAGGGACTCTAGTTGAAGTTAATTTCCTTCCTGTTGGAAAAAGAAAATCAGATATCTTTCTAAAAAATCAAGTCTTGTGTGCCTGCACCATTATTCCACTGATGAGCACTCAGATGAATAATAGTAAAGATGTTGAAGAGAATGCGAAATAATAAGAGAGGAGGAAGCAGAGCTTTTTTTAAAAAAACTGGGAAAATAAGGAGAGGCGGAGATACAAGAAGCTCTACTGACAGAAATGTAGCCAAGAGGGAGAAGTAGCAATAAAACAGAAATACACTCTTCCAAAAAGAGCACCATGAGGATTAATTTTTTGTCCACAATGTATGTTTATTGCATAATGAATTTGATAGCCTCTATATTCTACAAGGCTTATTTATTGCCATTTTTGCTTTTAATATAGCTGTTCCATATTCCCTTTTCTATTCTGTAGTTCTTCCTGCATCCAACTGAGATTCAGCAGCACACAAATTAAAAAAAAGGAAATGGATTAATTACTTTTTTAAAAAATAAAGAAGTATAACGTTTTCCTCTATTAATTTGTAATTGGGTTCTGTTCCTATACTGATTGTACTAATAACAAAAAATAAATACATCTTGTAAAGAATAAAATTGTGTTACTCCCAACTCAGGGTGATTAGTAAAATATAAAATAAATTTAGTTCATATGAATGGAAAATCATCAGGCATATACCTCCCCTTACTTTAGCAAGTGAGGGATTGAAAAAGTCTCATTTGTTTTAGTTGTAATTTTTTATTTATTTTTAAATTTAAGCTTTTAGACATTTAACTAAATATCTCATTTCAGAGATATTTCCTTACCAGATTCCTCAGTGCTTTTAACAGTGGCACAGCTTCTATTGTATTGCCTTCACTGGAAAAGTCAGGATACATTCAGAGATGGATCAGCCTTGAAAGTAGCCCATGTTGAGCTGTCAAAACACCAGCTCAGGAAGTGTTTTATGACATTTTGTATCATGTCATAAAATGCTTTATGATAATGTTTATGTCATAAAGTGTTTTATAAGTTTTGCCAAATTTCAATTCCAAGGGAGTCATGGGTCCCGGTTTTTGGATGTATTCCATATGTTAGCCCATTTGAGGTAACTTGATTCAAAGCTATTCCACCCAATTAAAAGTTCAGAGTTTTAGTAATATATAGAAGATAATCTTTGGAAAATTAAGGACTCAAGTCTGTTACTTCAGATGTAAGCCAGTGAAATGTAGTAATTAATCTCTTCATCCAGAGATGATCATCCAGAATTGGTGAAAATTCAATTTATCTGACCTCTCTACTACTCCCACTAATTGTCCCCTATTGGTGCTCTGTTCTCTGCTGTCATAGCCAAGTTAGGCTAAGGAATGGGGTGGGATGGATTAACATCCCTTTCCAGAGAGTGGTTTCCGGTTATCAAGAGGAGTTCAGCAGTGACCAATACATTTGTCTTTGTGATTCTCAGCATTCCCCCTTCCCCTTCCCTTTTACAGATTTTTATTGGAGAGATATCTATGTATTTCATCAAGTCCACTAGAGAAAGCTTAACTATCCAAGAGAAAACAATTTTGACAGGAGAATGCTGTTACCTGAATCCACTACTTCGGAGAATCATTCGATTTATAGGTAAGCATAATTAACACATTTGCAGAATAAAATAAGAAAAACAATTTCATATGTTTCTATGCACAAACCTCCCATGTAAGGATCCCCAGGGAGGCGGGGTGGGGGGGAAGATGTGTGTGAGAAAGAATTTGCTAGCTCCAATTTTTAGACAGGACCTTTTTTTGGCATTTTTCTAGCACAATATTTCACACCTAACAAATCACATTTCATAAAGCTTAGTGATATAGAAGGTCTTGTACAGTTTGATTGATATCCAGAGACAGATTCTCGAGACGCCTGTGACAAAAGAAGGGCAAAACTATTTTCTTCTTTTTCCTTTCAGAAATAAGAAATAAAATTCATTATGGGAGGCCAAGTACTAACCTGCCATTCTGATGACTTTTGGCTGGCAACCATCACTTTTATTTTCCATTAGTTTTCTATAGCAGTCAAGATTTTCAGTGGCTTATGAAGTAGAATTTCCAGCTAGAGGCAGCCTCTAAAAACAGATTACAAAAATAAAATAGTGGTTTTCTTCCGGAAGTTGTATGAAGAGATGAAATACAGGTACTCCTTGACTTACGACCACAATTGAGCTCAAAATTTATGTTGCTAAATGAGAAATTTGTTTTGCCCCATTTTACAACTTTTCCTGTCAGAAGGTTGCAAAAGGTGACCCTGGGACACTGCAACATCATAAATATGAGTCAGTTGCTAAGTGTCTGAATTTTGATCACTTGACTATGGGGATGCTACAACAGTTGTAAGTGTAAAAAACAGTGACGTAACTTTGAACAGTCACTAAATGAACTGTTATAAGCCGAGGACTACCTGTATAAGAGCTGGTAACATAGCTTCCATGTTCTTCCAGTGAAAATATATTCTGATTCAGCTGAAGTCCTAATTCTGTGAAAGAATTGGGGGAAATTTGGATCTAGGCAGCAATCAAGTTCTTTTACTATTTCAACAGGACTCTGACTCCTGTCACTCCATTATGATTATTCCCTGTGTTCTTATGAGCAAAACAAAATAATTATGTACTTTCTTTTCCAACTGAACTGTGTCCAAGGAATAGGGCTTAGGACATTTGACCTACTCTGTGTTTCACATGCATTATCTAAATCATATTAGCAGCCTTGTAGTGTTATTCCCATATTGCAGGAAGAAACTGAGTTGAAGAATTAGTGTCTTATTAGTGGCTTCCTTGTGTGTATCCATTTTAAATGAACATAGAACTTAAGATTTTCTGCAGCTTGCCTCTTTCCTGAATAAAGTAATCAAAATAAAGACATCACTTGTAAGAAATTTTTAAAAAACCTGATATTTTTAACGGTTTAAAAATATGCATTTTAAGCAATTTCTGTTGCATTGATAAGTGGTAAAGAGGCCATTAGAAAAATCTAGGAAGTGTTTTCACTGTGCTGCTGAAGTCCAAACTAATCAGGCAATCAGGATTTCTGCTAAAAGCACTTCTGCTGTGCATGTATGGCTAAATATTTATTTTGGCCGATATACTTTTCAGCAGCTTCAATTAGTGTACATCCCAAGTATTTTCTCTTTCTATCTGCCTTAATTTCTTGTAGTTAGAGGATTAGATAGGCTGGGCTAAATGTGAAAGTTGGTTCAGTTTAGATCAGCGCCCCCCCTCCAACCTTTTGGGCACCAGGGACTGGTGCCATGGAGAAAGGTTTTTCCATGGACCAGAGGGGGTATGGTTTTGAATACTGCCTGCATCCCGAGTATGGAGCTTTCCTTGTTTGTGCAGCCTGCTTTCCGGGGGTTGGGGACCCCTGTTTTAGATGGCTTTCATCTGTATATAAGCTTCTGAAATATGTAGTTCCTTAGATAGAAAACACTTTATGTGGATCATATTGATAGGCAGAACCTCCCGATAATGGGGAATTAAAAATAAAGCATCTGATGTGATGAAAGAAGAGTGGTTTTTTCTCATATGAGGTGTATCCATTATTATCAATATAAGAATACAAAACAAAATTTGAAGAAACGCAGCTAGGTGATCATGAATTGTTAGGCGTAGTTGCACCTGCTTAGAAGTTGGATGGGGAACCATAAGGGCTACGAGAAAAAATCAAAAGAAACAACTTCCATTTTGTTGCCAAATAAAATTATGTGATCATATCAAGGTAATCTCCAGGAATGCAGCTTAACACCATGGACATATTCCTGTACTATTAGAGTAATAAATAAATGAGCACCGGGCTGGAAAATCTTTAGGCCTGCAGATATTGTTGAATGCCAGTTCTTATCAGCAGCAGCTAGCATGACCTATAGTTAGGAAGTAAATTACTCATAGCCCTGTTGGGTCATCTTTTCAGAGATATTTCCTCATCGAAACAGAAAAGCAGAATGACCACGGACTGGCAAAAAAATAGTGAGAATGAGAGCTGCTGGCTCCTCCTGTGACATTACTTCTAGGTAGCGAAGCTGACAAGAATTATCAAAAATTACTGCTTGTTCTCTTTGGCTGACCTGAGGAACTGTCTTATTTTGCTGGGGGAGAGAGAAACAAAGGGAGCCACAGACCATGAGGAAAACTGCACTCTTCTTCCCCATCCTGTATGTCCCCAAGAGCCCCTCCCTCCAGGGAAGAAGGTACACCCATTGACTGCCAGCATCCCCCATCCAGCCCTATCTCACCAGCAGGCATCAAGCCATCATTTATTCTTTCCTTGCACCCACTGCTGTTAAAGAGATTTCAGATTTCAGCCTTGGTTACAAAGCAGCGAATCACTGCTCACCTGCAGGTCTTGCCACCAGGTGATTGGATGAAGCAGTGGGAATGATTTCTGACTTCCTGCTGGCTTCCCCATTGACTTTGCTTGTGAAAAGTTGTCATTCTTCCTCCTCCTTAGTTTACCTGAGGAACTGCCTGCCAGTTTGCTGGAGGGGGGAGGGAGAATAGTTGCAGACTCAGCTCCCACCTCCAGGGAGTAGTAGTAGTAGTAGTAGTAGTAGTAGTAGTAGTAGTAGTAGTAGTAGTAAAGTTGGAAGGGACCTTGGACGTCATCTAATCCAACCCCCTGCTCAGGCAGGAAACCCTATATCATTTCGGACAAATGGCTGTCCAATCTCTTCTTAAAAACTTCCATTGACAACCAGCATTCCCATTAAGCCTACCTTGAAGTATAATGGCAAACATGTTACTGAGAGAGAGAAAAAGACTCTGTGAAAGTTGTAAATGTGAGCATTGGTTGCAAAGTTACTTTTTCATCACTGTGGTAAACTCGAACTATTGCTAAACAAATAATTGAAACTAAGGACTCTCTGTACCTGTACATTTATGCTGAATAAGCCCCATAGGATGGCAGCACTTAGCTGATATGGAAAATTAAGCAAGGGTGGCCATAGTCAGCCTTTGGAGGACCACAGATCAAAATGTAACTATGGATATAGCAAGTGGCAGTACATGACCAGCTTATCGGGGCTTGGAAACTAAGCAGGGAACATGAATGAAAAACTATCAAGAAATAGACTAGGTTGTAGATGGTAGAATGAAATGTGAATTTGAGACCTGACCTGACCTTGACTTGACTTACGTAACTTCTATCCCTGTCTGTCTGTCTGTCTGTCTGTCTGTCTGTCTGTCTGTCTAGTGTTCATTGACTAGATGGGATATTTTTGCAATCTCTTAATTGTGGCAAAGTGTACCTATTAAACTGGGATTGTTACTAATAATGACAAAAAGTTTTCACTGAGAAAATAACGAAAGTGTTTTCTGATTTTCCAATAGAGAAATGGAGATTGTATAAACTTTCCATCCCAAAACGCTTATCCATGCTTCATTTAATCATCGCATATTCGGTTATTCTAATGTTCTGTATTTTCATTAGATCCTAACCATTTCCCTGCCCTCATTAGTACAATTCTGAATTGATTACTTGAAGAAGACTCGCTTCATTTCTCTCTTCATTTTCCTCTACATACATTCCCATATTATGTTTCTGAACATTAAGGAAAGCTGGGTTCTCATTTTTTATATGTGCTAGGCAGTTGGTGCATTGGAACAAAACCCATACCTTGAACGTGTCCGATACTAGCATAAAATAAAATTAGGCAACTTTGAAGGGCTCAAGTACATCCGAATGTCTCCATATCTATATAGGGTTTTTTTTCTAAATTTGCAGCCTCCGCACTTGGTTTAATTACATTTATCCTTATTTTTAAATCTTAAATTTGTGTTGCAAATTTTCCTTCTCCCTCTTTTTTTTCTGGTGGAGGAAAGAAGCTGTTATTTTTCTTCCATGCCTATCGTGTTTTCAGTTCTTAATAATAATTCCACTTTTCTTGTTCTTTTACCTTTTCATTCTCTCAGGAGTATTTGCATTTGGTCTTTTTGCTACCAACATATTTGTAAATGCTGGCCAGGTAGTGACTGGAAACTTGGCACCCTATTTCTTGACTGTCTGTAAACCCAACTACACTGGGAGTGACTGCCGAGCTCATCACCAGTTTGTTAACAATGGGAATATCTGCACCGGCGACCAAGATGTGATTGAGAAAGCGAGGAGATCTTTTCCATCCAAACATGCTGCTTTAAGCATATATTCAGCCTTATATGCTACAGTAAGTACATAAAGAGATTCTGCTATTACCTGTCCTTCATTTATCATTTCTGACTGCTTTAACGTCCTCTCATTTCTCTATAAAGATTTAAATGCAGAATCACAGAGATCCGCCATGGCAGGCTTGTTGGGCTGTACTGTATCACAATCAAATACACAGGTAGTCTCGACATACAACGGTTTGTTTAGTAATGGTTCAAAGTTACAATGGCACCAAAAAAAGTGACTAATGACCATTTTTCACACTTGCAGCATCCCCGTGGGGATGTCATAAAGTGTTTTATAAGTCACATGCTCAAAATTCAGACGCTTGGCAGCTGGCTCATATTGTGACGGTTGCAATGTCTTGGGGTCATGAGATCTTTTGTGACCTTCTGACAAGCAAAGTTGCCGGGGAAGCTTCACAACCGTGTTACTAACTTAACACTTAACAGCTGTGAACAGAAAGGTCGTACAATGAGGCAAACCTCACTTAAGAAATGTCTCCCTTAGCAACTGAAATTTTGGGCTCAATTGTGGCCGTAAGTCAAGGACTACCTGTAACCATTGTCATCTTCTCAGTGTGATCATGTTTATTTCTAGAGCAGGGGTGTCAAAACACGCCGCGTCATGTGACGTATCGTGACGTATTGCGACTTTTTTCCCCTTGCCAGAGCTGGGGTGGTCCTGGCTTCTGCGTGACGCATAGTTTCTAATACTCACTAAAATCACTTAGAAATTTTTTTTTTATAGGACATCTAGTCCAACCCCATGCTTAATGTAGGATTTCTTAAAGCATATTGGATAGATGGGTATCCAGATTCTGTTTGAAAATCTCCTGTGAAAATGATAATACCATTGTATTTAAGAGTGTCAACCAGTGGAATAGATTGCCTATATGTTATGATATAATCTATTCCATTGGTTGACAGCTGTTAAATCGAAAATCTCTTAATATCTAAACTAAATCCCAGTAGTAACCCAGTAGTTGTGGTCCTGCCCTCTGAGGCATCACAGAATACCTTCACTCCTTTCTGTACATATTAACCCTTTAAAAATCTGAAGGCTGCTGTCATCATTTCCACCCCGGTCTTCTATTCTGCAAGCTAAGCATATTCCTTGAATCATAAAGGTGCTTTTTCAAAAGGCAACTGGATTTTGTTTTTCCTTCCATTCCTTTCTTACTCCAAGGAAAAACAAAGTCCAGTTATCTTTTGAAAAAGCATCTTTGGGACAACCATGAGCTGGATGACTGAGAATCTCCCTAGACATTCCTTGAATAATTTTTTCACAGGAATTGGTTTCCAGTTCCTGGCCAGCCCTCCTCTGATCTTACACTCCTGTTTAGACTGTGGAACCCAGAACTGGATGCAGTATTCCAAGAAAGAATTAGACCAAGACAGAATAATACTTTCCTGGGATCTGTACTCCTTCCTTCTGTTAATGCATCTTAAAATACTATTTACCTTGTTAGTAGCTGCATAACATTGTTCACGTGTTCATTTTGAGCTTGTGATCTGATAGAGCACCCAGATCACTTCTACATGTATTACTGCCAAACCAGGTCTTCTCTTTTATTTTATTTTATAACCACAGATAAGGATTTTACATTTTTCCCCTGTTCAAATCCATCCTATTTATTTTGGCCTAGGTTTACACCTGCCTAGAGGCCCATGTTTTGTAATTCTTTCTTTAACTTCTGAAGTTTTAGCCTCCCCTCATTGCTAGTAAGAAGCCCCTTATGGACTTTCTGAAGAAAACAGAAAAAAATAAGCTTATGACTTACAGTTTTGATTATTAGATTGGATAAATTATAGAAGGAAGAGTCACAATGTAACTTTAGAGAAAGAAGTAAATCTACAGTTGTACTTAGAACTGCTATAAAGAAGATCAGAAGCCATTTCTTTCTATCTTTTTTCTGTATTTTCTATTTTTCTACCTTTTTTCCTTACTGCACTTTAGCTTTGTTTCATTTCTTCCTTTTTCTTTTTTCCTTCTTACTCTATTTAGTTTGTATTAATTTTTACTTTTGTTTTTTAAATCCTTCAATAATATATTAAAAAATAATAAATTGTTAGCTACTCCTTCTAGTTAAGTGTCACGTGAAAATTTACCAATTTTTGTCTCAACCAATTATCTAGGTTATTTATAAAAATGCTCAATGGGGCTCAGAGCTCTCCAAACTAATGTGGTTATTAATGAAGTCATTTAGTACTTAGAATACTTTCTGAGGGCAGTGATTTAGCCAATTAGGAGTTCATTACTGAATACCTCATGAAGGATTCCATCAAATACTTTGCTGAGGTCAAGATACATTCTTGTCCAGGGCACTTCCCCAATCTATTAAAACAAGTAACTGTTTTTTTAAAAAAGGAGAAAATGGCAATTTTGCATCATTTGTTTTGGACAAATACATACTGGCTCTTGGTTGTTAATCAAGTGTTCATAGTCTCATTTGCAGTTGGAGCATGAATTACAATGAAGCTGCTTTTTAATATCCTTAAGCTTGAAGGTCTGTAATGTCTCTCTTTTCAAGAAAGGGACAGTGTTTGTTCCCATTTTCTGGATTCACCAGATCTCCAGGAATTCTCAAAGATATTCCCCTTTAGTGAATTTGCAATCTGCAAGTTCCATCAATATTTAGGATGAGTACAATTTATCTGGCCCTGGAGACTTGAAGTCATTTATTTTTATGAAGCCACATATTTTTAACCTGGTTCTTGTCTGTCCCAAACTGAAGCTCCTGTCTTCCACTAGTGTCACAGCAATAACCAGTTAGGTCTTAATGCCATCCTGTGAGAAGATAAATGTAAACTGTGAATTAAAGACATTCTGCCTTCTCACCACCAGCCATTATTGATTTACTGCTTACACATTCAGCAGATCTACAGCCATTTTGTTTGCTGCTGACACACTTGAGTAGTAGTAGTAGTAGTAGTAGTAGTAGTAGTAGTAGTAGTAGTAGTAGTAGTAGTAGTTGTTCTAGGCTTTTTTCACAAAGCCCAACTTATTCTGAGTATTAGCCTTTCTATTAGGAATACAATTTCTATAGTTTTTGGCTATTGCCTTATATCCTTCTTTGGTTATATACAGTCCCTCTTTTATTTCTTGTATCTATTTTTTTAGCCTTTTAGAAAATTCTGTAGTTATCTATACTGCCTTGATAAATGTCATTTTTTCCTTGCAATTGTGCCTATAGCACAAGTAGTCCTCGGTTCACAACTGGTCACTTAGCAACCATTCAAAGTTACGATAGACTCCTTAAAAGGTTCGCAAGACCTGATTCTGAAGTTCGCATGCACCCCTCCCCCATGGTCATGTGATTGCATTTCACGCACTTAGCAACCAGCCCATAGTTACAACTGCTTGCAGCATCCGGCAGTGATGTGACCATGATTTATGACTCTTTTTTTTTTTTGCCAAAATCCAATATTTATTTTTGGTTTTTAGCAAAAACACCTTATAGTGAACAGTGGGTACACTAAATGACAATGGTATTCACTTAATAAATACCTGAAAAAAGCTTGTAAAATCAGGTTGGTCATATGGGTAACCCCCTTAAGACAGAGGTCCCCAGCCCCTGGGCCGCGGCCCATTCGGAACTGGGCCATGTGAGTGGCGGGCAAGTGTGTACACGAAGCTTCATTGGCATGAGCAGTGGGCACACATGTATGACGCTTGCGCAAATGGAGCTGCGTGTGTGCATGTATGCACACCTGCCACTCACACAGAACCCTCCCCTCTTCTCCCTTCTTGTCCGCCAAGCCGGAAAGGTTGGGGAGCGCTGCCTTAAGACCATCATGATTTACGGCCCTAATAGGCAGGCTGCATTAAACTCATAAATCAAAGACTATCTATATCTCGTTTGCAGGATTTCTCAGTCTCCTGAGACACTGCCCTCTTCAAGATGCCAAGCCATTTGATCTGAACTACTTTCTGCCTGAATTCACCAGAGTCCTCTCTTCTGAACTTCATTGTACATGTCTAAAGCTTTTCTATTCCTCTTCCCCTTAAACTCACAAAAAAGGATAGATAACATGTCACTTTCTCCCAAAGTTTTAGTCTCTTTTACTTCTTCAAATAATCCATCCCTGTTAATAAGAATTAGGTCTAGAATAGCATACCCTCTTCATTATTTTTCATTAACTGTTTTTTTATTCAAACATTAGAATACACTCCAAAAAAAAGGATAAAAAAGAAAATAGAAAAACGAAACAAAACTAACGTCATGGTTCCAATAGATGGAACCACTTAAAAGAACTTCAAGGCAAGGATTTCTTCCTTAAAGAACATTTTATTAGGAAACAAAGTATGGGCACTTACATAGTTGAACCCAAGAATGAGATTCCCTCCTCCCAGATACAAAGTAACAAATTGCAATTCCCACCCCACAAGAGCTGTCTCCAATTAGCACAAAACTTGGGCTTTCCCCCACAACCTTATCGGAAGGTGTCCTTGAGTTCCCTTCTTCTACCTTGTTATGGCTAGCTAAACCTTCAGGCATTTACCCCAACCCCCCCTTCTACATCCGAACTCTAAAAGACTAAGAAGGCACATTTAAAGCAAGAGTAAAAATGGATGCCGTCAGAGCCACGACGTCCATTGTCACAGCGTTGGCAACTAGACAATACAAAAGAAGAAATTATATGTGCATAAAAAGAAAAAAAACATATACATTGTCTCCCCTAGTTGAATAATAAATATATTTCAAAAATAATAATTTCCTCCCCTTTCAAAGCAGGCACACAGTTTATGAATTTCTACAACTCTGCTTACCCAGCCCATATGATCTGACCGAAAATCCACAATGGCTTCTAATCTACCATAAGCCACAACAATAGTCTCTGGTCCATCCCGGATCAAATGTCCTTGATTGATTCTTAATAAAAAGGCTTTTTCCTTAAAATTTTAACTGGGGTCTTTTTCCAACACTTAGTATAACTCTTTGTTATTTTATCCATCCTCTGACAAATGTAGAGTTAAACTTGTGCCAAATGTAAGGATGGGCAAAATCACCCATTG